GGAGAGAGAGAGAGAGAGAGAGAGAGAGAGAGAGAAAGAAGATCATTGAGCTTAGTTACAGGACGACAAATGGCATTCATTCATGGGTTTGGTGTTTTGTGTCTGTCTCTTTTTGTCGTCGCCGTCGCAAGTGTTCAAGCCGCCGGTCCGAAGGTTTTCGATGTCCGAAAGTACGGTGCTCGTGGCGACGGAAGAACCGATAACACCAATGTACCAAAACTTTCACTCTCGTCAAAAAAAATGTCAAAGAAAAAAAATCTACAGTCGCCAATTTCAACCGCTCTCACGTCACCATCATTATCTTTTATCATCATCATCATCATCATCATCATCATTTCTGTAGCTATTTGGGTAGATTGGATATGGTTTTCTCCTCGTGGGCCCATAATTGCCTTAGGTTCATTTTGTGAGAAAAAACCTATTAGTGGCCTATTGACCCAATAATAAAATGGGCCTAAGAGATCTCCTACAAAGCCCAATAATAATGGATTAATGGGCCTACAAGATATTCTACAGGGCCCATTAAGATTGGGCCGAGCTGACGTGCATTAGCTTCTGCGCAAGAGTAAAAAACAAAAGATTACATGCATGTATGTATGTATGTATATATATATATATGTACTCGAGTACGATGGATGGAACGTAGGGAAAAATCTTAGCCATATATTTTCGAGATATCTTGAGATATTTGGGCTTTTTTTTATAATTTAAAAAATAATTAACAAAGCCCAAAGGGCTCACTGCACTTTCAAGAAAAAAACCCTAGTTGAGAAGTTTTGCCTTGGACTTTCTCGTTTGTCTACATATATATATATTTGCAGCTGCGCCTTATTTCGTTGTTCTGCTTTCTGAAAGAGAGATCTCTCTCCGTAGCTCGTTCTCTCTCTATCTCATCCTCGCTCGTCGCCTCCCTCTTCAGGTTGGTTCAGGCTTTTCTCCTGATCGGTACTATCTTTCGTGGCTTTGATCGTTCAATTTTCTGGTCGAAAGCTATGATATTTGATTATGTGGCCTTGAATGCGTGTTTGGGTATTATTTCTTTTTTGTCTTTCCGATGGGCTTGATTCGTGTTGCTATCAAATTAGCTAGTGAATCTGGTGGTTTTTTCGCCATTTTTTGGTTTCTGGTTTTTGTGTTTCGCTTAGATCTGGCGAGTTCCCTCATCATTTTTTTTCTTTCGTTTTTCATCATTAATTGCCTTTTGATTTCCTGGTTATGAGTTTTTTTTGTTGGATCATTGCACCACAATTGTAACTTTGTCTTCTAGGAAGGCGTTCTGGTCGTAGATTTTCTGAATCAATTATTTTTGTGATATTGTTTGCTTTTTCGTTCCTGCGTTTTGTTTTAGTCTCGAATTCGTATTCCTCAGTTAGCTAGTGGATTCTTCTCCGTGAATTGATAGTGGTTGATTTTAGATTCTCAATTCCGGTTTTCCGATCTGAAATTTTTGAGATTTAGGTATTATATTAGGGTTTAGCGTTTTTCATGAATTCTTCCCTTTATACGCTCATGTGCTTGTGGGTCTTTTTGTAAACTGTTGAAACTGTTCAGATCGTTTGTTTTCTTTGACTAATCTCATTCTGTGAGGTTTTTCATCGGATTAAGCTTTCTTGTATTCTCTAACCTTTTTTGTTGATGTAATTGCAGGAATCAGCAGTTGTCGGTATTACTTAAAGACCAGCCAAGATGGTAAAGTTTCAGTTTTTCTGATGCTGTATTGTTCGTTTTCCTGCCAGCTCCCGAAGCTGTCGAGGTTAATTGTTATGCCGTGTTTAAATTTTTTCAGGTTAAGTTCACAGCCGATGAGCTCCGGGCAATTATGGACAAGAAAGAGAACATCCGTAACATGTCTGTCATTGCCCATGTTGATCACGGTATGAATTTTAACTAACTGCTGATGGTGCAGAACCTCTGTGAATTGATGGCTCCTCAGTGGTATATGTCTTGGTCAAACCTGATGAGTAATCAATTTATGTCTCAGGGAAGTCAACTCTTACGGATTCCCTTGTGGCTGCTGCGGGTATCATTGCCCAAGAAGTTGCTGGAGATGTCCGTATGACTGATACCCGTGCAGATGAAGCCGAGCGTGGTATCACCATCAAGTCCACCGGTATTTCGCTCTACTATCAAATGAGTGATGCATCTCTGAAGAGCTACAAAGGTATGAGGGATGGGAATGAGTACCTGATCAATCTCATCGATTCCCCTGGGCACGTCGACTTTTCATCTGAAGTCACGGCGGCTCTCCGTATCACGGATGGTGCCCTTGTGGTGGTTGACTGTATCGAGGGTGTCTGTGTCCAGACGGAGACTGTGCTCCGTCAAGCCCTCGGTGAGAGGATCAGACCTGTTTTGACCGTTAACAAGATGGATCGTTGTTTCCTTGAGCTTCAGGTTGATGGTGAAGAGGCTTACCAGACCTTCCAGAGGGTGATTGAGAATGCCAATGTCATCATGGCTACTTATGAGGACCCGCTCCTCGGGGATGTTCAGGTTTATCCTGAGAAAGGAACTGTTGCTTTCTCCGCTGGACTGCATGGTTGGGCCTTCACTCTCACCAACTTTGCCAAGATGTATGCCTCTAAGTTTGGGGTTGATGAGTCGAAAATGATGGAAAGACTCTGGGGCGAGAACTTCTTTGATCCCGCCACAAAGAAGTGGACGACCAAGAACACTGGATCTCCGACCTGCAAACGTGGATTTGTCCAGTTCTGTTACGAACCCATTAAGCAGATCATTAACACCTGCATGAACGATCAGAAGGATAAGCTATGGCCGATGTTGCAGAAGCTCGGTGTCACCATGAAGTCCGATGAGAAGGAACTGATGGGGAAGCACCTGATGAAGCGTGTGATGCAGAATTGGCTCCCGGCCAGTGATGCTCTCCTGGAAATGATGATCTTTCATCTTCCCTCGCCTTCAAAGGCTCAGAAGTACCGTGTCGAGAATTTGTATGAAGGTCCTCTCGATGACAAGTATGCTACTGCAATCAGAAACTGTGATCCCGAAGGTCCTCTCATGCTTTACGTGTCAAAGATGATTCCAGCTTCTGACAAGGGAAGGTTCTTTGCTTTCGGCCGTGTGTTTGCGGGGAGAGTGGCGACGGGTATGAAGGTGAGGATTATGGGTCCTAACTACGTTCCGGGCGAGAAGAAGGACTTGTACGTGAAGAGTGTGCAAAGAACTGTTATCTGGATGGGAAAGAAGCAAGAAACTGTGGAAGATGTTCCTTGTGGTAACACAGTGGCCATGGTTGGACTGGATCAGTTCATCACCAAGAACGCGACTCTCACCAACGAGAAGGAAGTGGACGCTCACCCTATCCGAGCCATGAAATTCTCGGTCTCCCCTGTCGTCCGTGTTGCCGTTCAGTGTAAGGTTGCCTCCGACCTGCCGAAGCTTGTGGAAGGTCTGAAGCGTTTGGCCAAGTCTGATCCTATGGTTGTCTGCTCGATCGAGGAATCCGGCGAGCATATCATCGCCGGAGCAGGAGAACTCCACCTGGAGATTTGTCTGAAGGATTTGCAAGACGATTTCATGGGAGGTGCAGAGATCATCAAATCAGACCCAGTCGTCTCCTTCCGTGAAACCGTCCTCGAGAGATCCTGCAGGACGGTGATGAGCAAATCCCCGAACAAGCACAACCGTCTCTACATGGAAGCACGGCCATTGGAGGAAGGTCTAGCAGAAGCCATCGACGATGGACGCATCGGTCCAAGAGACGACCCGAAGATCCGTTCCAAGATCTTGGCCGAGGAGTTCGGCTGGGACAAGGACCTCGCCAAGAAGATCTGGGCTTTCGGCCCTGAAACCACCGGACCGAACATGGTGGTCGACATGTGTAAGGGAGTCCAGTACTTGAACGAGATCAAGGACTCGGTCGTGGCAGGGTTCCAGTGGGCATCAAAGGAAGGACCGTTGTGCGAGGAGAACATGAGAGGAATCTGCTTCGAGGTCTGTGATGTGGTTCTGCACTCCGACGCCATCCACCGAGGTGGCGGTCAGGTCATCCCGACGGCCAGAAGAGTTCTGTACGCATCCCACCTGACCGCCAAGCCGAGACTGCTTGAGCCGGTCTACCTGGTGGAGATCCAAGCCCCTGAGCAAGCCCTCGGAGGAATCTATAGTGTACTGAACCAGAAGAGGGGGCACGTTTTCGAGGAGATGCAGAGGCCAGGAACTCCGCTGTACAACATCAAGGCGTATCTTCCGGTCGTAGAGTCGTTTGGGTTTTCGGGACAGCTGAGAGCGGCGACGTCGGGACAGGCTTTCCCACAGGCAGTGTTCGATCATTGGGACATGATGTCGTCGGATCCTATGGAGGCTGGCTCGCAGGCTTCGACACTGGTGGCTGAGATCAGGAAGAGGAAGGGCTTGAAGGAACAGATGACTCCTCTCGCTGATTTCGAGGACAGGCTGTAAGTCTTTTTTCCATGAAAAAAAAACTCCATCTTTATCTCTTTCTTGTTCGACGTCGTCGTTTCATTTTGCTGCGAGACTGCTTTATTTTTGGTGTTTGTTTTTATTTATTTTTAATGTTGACATAGTTCTGAGTGTTTTGCCGGCGGCCGCATTGTCGGCCGTTGATTATGTTCTCTCTTCTTCGGATTTAATTTTAATTCTCATTTTCCAAGTTCCATTTTTTGCATTGTGGATTTTTTTTTATGCTTAAATTTCGGGGCTTCACAAAATTTCTTAAAACCCTGATCTTGGCAAATATATATATTTCATATATGGATCGTATTGTTTTTATGTGCATATTTAATAAAAAATGATAAATGATTTAATGAAATTTAGGACCAGATCATATTTTTGTTTTCTTGCGAGCAAATATATATATTTATATAATATACTGGGCTCTAAATGGGAAGCCGACGCGTGAGTCCAGATACGCTTTTGGATCTTGTTGCGTGAACTGTCAAATCATACGCGCAGCTTAGGCGCGTGAGAGCCACCGCCACGAATCCTGTGCACTATAGTCCAGCGATTTTGGCCATTTTAGCAAAAAATAGAAAATCAGGCGCGTGGAGTTCTCAAGTTGGTTTCACGCTTCTTCTAACTCTTCTTTTTTTTAAAAAAAAAAAAAATTCCTATGAGCTCTCGTACGATTAAAATTGTAGATAAAAACATCTATTTTTTTTTGTTCTAATATAAAACAAAAGTATCTACGTATATTGATACATTTCAACAGAATTAAAAACTGGGCTGATAACTTTTATAAGTACGTAAAACGTGTCCAAACAAATACCCAAAAAAATGATTAACTATTCATCAGATATGATTTATATATGGATATGTAAAACATTTTTAAAATAAAGTTCCAACCATTCAAATTTGTCAATGATCTGAGTACTGAAACGAAAAATTACATAGAACTTATATAGATATCCAAACGTTTAAAACCCTAACCATGTATATACACACACACACACATTACTATCATTATAGGAACGTAAAAGAAGTCAGTGTCGGTTATGGTGGGGACGAGTCAGGGAAGCAAATACGGTAGCCCGAATAAATATGACAGCAGGATATGGACTATGTACTGTCATATACGATGTGAGCCATCATACCATGTGGAGGTTTTGTGAAGGCATGATGATGATGCACGCACCATATATACATATATGATACAAATATTTACACTTGTCTTTGTGTTATATATAACTCTCTCTCTCTCTCTCTCGCTCTTGACAATTGATAATGGGAATCTCCACACGACGACACACCACATTTACTTTATGTGTGGACTGTCCTGGATTCATGTGCCGTTGTGAAGGCATCGAATCATGAGGAAAGGACCATAAGGGCAAAGGACAAATTACTCATTCGCATTCTTTTTTGTTTTTCAAAGGGTCAGTGTTTCATTATTGCATTCTTACAGTTCATGGTAGAGAGAGAGAGAGAGACCCTGCGCCATTACAATCAAAGTGCTTTGTCTTTGGTAGCCAGTCTTGTCCGTTTCCTCGTGTTCAGTAGCTGCCGTCCCTTGTCTGAACATATATTGTTAACTAAGTCTAATTACAGTTGGAAATCTGTCGTGTCGGATTAGAAAACCCATTGGGCGAAAACGTTTTAGAGAAATTAATCCAAAGTTAGATTCTTTTTTCTACTTAAATTTCTTCAAACTTTAACCCACTATATGGATTCCTGTCCTTGTCGTTTTTGGCATCTCCTCTTCGTTTCTTCAAAGTATACGTCCCCACGAAATGAAGGGTACACATAAAAACGCATAAAGTTAAGATCTTGAGGTTAATTAATTAACACCATCTTTGATGTTTTTCCCTTTTTCTCTCCATCCATTGATGCTTCCACATTCGCCTTTGTTAGACCCAAATCACGGACCGAACATTGCGACAATCAATCGGCTAAAAACTTCACGTAGTATATCGATTCATCCATATATTTGTCATCGGTTTAACAGGAATCTAAGGAGCTGATGACAGCGACTCGTTAACCGCAACACGATATGTTTCCTCAAAGGCAGGGTTTTGTGTTTGATTAATGCGTGGGAACTTTCTTGTTTGATCGTCTTTTTAAACCGAGGAGGCCCATTTGGATGACGATGCAAAAACATCCAACTTGACGCGTAAAGACTCGATCTTTTCGTGTATGGAGATTTTTGATTTATCTCTTGAGGAGAAAATTCTATGGTACATTATTGAATAATGGTCCTACAACTACAAGACAAGCATTTTTCTCTGTGTGTATATATATATGTGTGTACTGTTGTGGACAGCACAACCATCGTGCACTTCCCGTATTGATGCTGCTACCACCCAAAAATTATTTCCTTCATTATTTGGTCCATGCTGAAATCTCTCTCTCTCTCTCTCTCTCTCTCTCTCTCTCTCTCTCTCTCTCTCTTCTTTGAAATGTCGCTTGCAACACTTCTAAATCCAATTTAATTCAGAAATCACTGATATCTATAGTGTATTTCATGAAATTTTATAGCTCTTATGGCATAGTTCACACCATATGTCTTGATATAATCTTATTATATGTGGTGTATATATATATATATGTGTATATACAGCTTCAGGCTCTTCATGTCTATTTTACTGTTAGATTTTGCTACTTTGATAAAGGTGGAGGGAACTGTGTGCAAATGGAAATCATGGACGTTTATACAATTGCAAACTTTTTCTTTATGTATATATATATATATATATATA